GTGTGTGTGTGTGTGTGTGTGTGTGTGTGTGTGTGTGTGTTTATAGTTGATGGATAAATAGATAAACTGATATATTTTTTTTCCATTCTTTGTAGAGACTCTTACTGACTTGGGGAAATACACTCTGAAACTGAACACGATGTTAAGTGAAAATCGTGCAACTGTCTACGGAGGCAGACCTCTTCCGAGCTATGTGCTCAAATTCACCATTAAAGGTAAACCGAGCCTGTTCTTTCAGTATTTAAGTTCCTTGTTTACTTTGAGAATACCTCAGACACTTATGCTGCTTTTATTATCAGAGGGCAGTGCAGACCACTTCACTGTGGGTGCAGTGAGCCCCACTGTTCGTGTGGGAGTGCCATTCAACATTCCTCTGCAGATAAAAGATTTTTATGACCACCCAACAGCACCTCCTCCCAAACTTCTGCCTGCCCTTAAATGCAGGTGAGTTACTTCACTTGTAAATSTATTTGTCCATTTATTCATTCATTCAATCATCTTTTCAGTCATTCATTTATTCATTCATTTAGTGGACTAGAGCTGACTTATGAGTCGGTGAGCTGCAGTGGGACCACATTCACCATTAATGGTGTTAAAACAAAAGGAAAAKTTGGAAATTACCAGCAATCCAAGGTTACACAAAATTAACCTGTCAAATTTAAGCATTATTAGATATAAATAAATAACTTTGCAATTTGCTTGAAGTTAAAAAAATGTAAGAAAAAAATGTATTTTGCAGAGCTATGACCTGAAAGTGACACTGCCTGGATTGAAAAATGATACACAAACTATTGCTATCGGTCTTCTTCCTGGTAAGAYTACTTTTATTTCAAACTTTATAAGTGATGACTTTTGGGACCTTGATATTCTACTTGCTTGAAAGTTTKTTTTTGTTAGCTTGATTAAGAATATTTCTAAACATTTACTTCAACAGTAAATGTACAGTACAGTACGTTCAGTTTTTATAAATTTTAGAAAAGATTTTGTCATATGAACAACCCCATATTATTTACAATGCAAAGCTTACCGAGTAAATGACGACGTTGACTAGGTGACTGATGACATAGCATTAGCTATATGTAAATTAATGCCACATATTTATCAGTAATATACAGGGGTTAGRCAATGAAACTRAAACACCTGTCATTTTAGTGTGGGAGGTTTCATGGCTGAATTGGACCAGCCTGGTGGCCAATCTTCATTAATTGCACATTGCACCAGTAAGAGCAGAGTATGAAGGTTCAGTTAGCAGGGTAAGAGCAGAGTTTTGCTCAAAATATTGCAATGCACACAACATTATGGTGACGTACCAGAGTTCAAAAGAGGACAAGTTCTTGGTGCACATCTTGCTGGAGCATCTGTGACCAAGACAGCAAGTCTTTGTGATGTATCAAGAGCCATGGTATCCAGGGTAATGTCAGCATACCGCCAAGAAGGACGAAGCACATCCAACAGGATTAACTATGGACACAAGAGGAAGCTGTCTGAAAGGGGTTTGAATGGGCTAAAACCAGGTGTTTCAGTTTAATTGTCTAACCCCTGTACATCCCCTCCAAAAGTGTTGGAACAAAAAGCTGGCATTCTAAACTCTTGGTCTCATGTTCATCTTTTGATATTAAACCCAAATGTCTTCAGTGTACAACAAAAACAAGGGAATTTGACTTGCTGTTCCAATACTTTTKGAGAGGATTGTAAATATGGCATTCGTTCCTGAGCTATATTATTAGCTTGGGTGCTAAAGTGAAAGCTAAAATGCTAATCTGATGTCTCCTTCCACAAAGCAGCTCTGTTGTCCTCCATCTGTATTTTCAGTTACATTCYGAGTCATTTCTACATTCTCCCCTCTATCAATGTGYTCTGCTTTCATTTAAAAGGGCTGATTGCCAGATATTGCCCAAGATTAACCTTCAGGGTGGATGAAGCTTGTTTGCAGTCTAGCACGATAGAAACTGGTAAATGTCATMATTTACCCGGTAWGCTTTGTGGTGTAGATCATATGGCTCCTTCTGTGTAGCAATCCATTTTTTTAAATATATAAAAACGAAAAAGCCTAAAGTATTTTTGGGTCTTTCTTTTGCAGTTGAAGTAAATATTCATCAAATAATGTTGACTGTTACAACTAGTCAGGGTTCACTTTAAAGGGAASRTATCTTGCTAAATCCACTTTTTTAGCCAATAMATGCATTTTATTGTGTACTTGGAGTCTCTAGGAGTGCAGAAAAGTTGAATTTAGTCTCTCCTGTGCTGCAAATWTATCTTAATATTCTTTTTGTGTCCTATTTTTCAACCTGTCCAGTTTTCTAAATTTTCTATTACATTTTCTGAACTACAATGTCAAATTATTTAGGTCAGAATTCCAAATAAGGTCTAGACTTACCAACTACAATTTTRTTGCCTTCGTTCTCCTCTTGCTCTGGGTCAGACTCTAGTTACATGTAAGGCTGGATGGACATATTTTAATKAAACTRTAAAGAAAAAGGTTTCTGTGCYRCTATATAGTTGTAAACCCTTCTATCAAACTGGAATAGACTGCTCTGGTAGCTGGAGGGTGTGTACTTGTTTTTAACTATAGAGTGACGACCATTTGCGCCATAGTACCTTTCAAAGTGAGGTTTTGATGTAAAATGAGGACCTCCTCAATGTCCAATGTGCAGCTTTAGTAGTTGGAGGTATGGCGTGAATTAAATTTTGCTTCAGGTTAGGGTTAGGAATAGACTAGTAATGGTTAGTTTTAGGGAAAATGTTTGGGTTAGGCATAAATACAGTTACAAAAATGAATGGAAGTCAGTTGTAGAGTTACAATGAGGAATTCAGACCAAAGCATTGCAGTTCCACTTTATGTAGACACCAACTGAATTATTTAAATGTGAAAAAAGAATTAAAAGTATAATATGTCTATTTTAACATCCTATTTTCTTTTTGTAATGGCTCTTATTTGTCAATGTTTAGTAAAATTTTGTACATAAATTTCAGGAAATCCGCATTCGCTTTTTGTGAAACCAAACACAGATGTGGTCAAAGTGGAGAATGGAAACTCAGTCACTTTTAATGTTGAAGTTCATGATGAGGCTGGAAACATTACAGCTAACCTCAAACAGACGGTTCACTGTCAGGTATTTATATGTTTATGTTGAGAAATTATGATATGTATTTGTTTTAAAAAATTAAAAACAAGGCAGCTTCAAGCTTGAAACATTCAGACTCATAATGACGTTTTAGACATTTAATACAAGAAATGGAAAGATTTGATGAGAATATGTATATGTTCATTGTTGTAGCTGACATTTCCTCTTCTTTTTTTTTTGTGCTTTTTCAGGCTCCAGGGCTTCCCGTGGTGGTGGCAGACTGCAGCAGCACAGGAGCAGGCCAGCTTGTGACAAAGCCCATAAACCTTAACATAACAAACGGAGAACCACAAATGCTTGAAGTTGAATTTAACATGCCAGTAAGTTTAAAAAAAAACCTTAACCAGTATACTCCTTGCCTAAAGTTTGCTCACATTATTTTGTTTTATGTTAGAATCAGAAACACATTGCACCAGTCAAGATACAGCTGAAGGTCGTGCCCAGCAGTCGGGTCTCACAGATGAAGCTGTTTTGTCAGGGAGTGGAAACATTTACGCTCAGAGATAAAGAAAAGATTGAATGGCCAGCTGGAGGGATGCTCGAGAATCTGTTTTATAAACTGTATGATGAGTCTGGCATGGAGGTGCCAATCACTTCTGAAATAGCCTCCAGCATGAAGGTGTGTCTTCTTATCGTGGCAATTTATTTATTTATTTTTCTTTCCTCATGTCTTTTAAGAACCATTGCATTTGAAGTTATGTACACTGACTGTGTTTAAGGTTACCTGGACAACAGATGTTAAACGGAGAAGTTTGATGAAGGGGAGACTACCTGATGTACAGGTGCCCACCCGTGTGACAGAGGAGCGTTTCCACCAGGTGTCCTACCAGGAGCTGAGTGTGTCTTCCTGTTTCACCATTGTGTAAGCCATGGCATATGTCTTTAATAAGCTGGATTATTGCTGTGTTTTACTGTTTGGGAGAAGAAAAAAAATATTACACTTGACAGCATTCCTTCTGAATAAATGCTAATGAGAAAATAATATAAAAAATAGCAAGGAACTGTCTACTCAAAATGGTCTGCAGGAGATGTTTATTCCTACATGACTACACCTCCAACTTTTTAATTTTTTAGATAGATGCGGCACCTCTGGAAGCAAAGCTGCTTGCAGATTTTTTTTTTTTAATAGTTAATATGATCCGGTTTTATCGATACTAAGATGTAATAAACAGGCATTGGTACATGGCTGCTCAAACCATCCAACTGCATCATGCACATCTATGAATCGGTACAAATATGTCAATCTTCATATTCATAATTCTTATTAAATATAAGTACACAGCTACATTTTGATTAGCTCAGCTAAATAAGACCATTTTGTGTTGCATTGCTTAAATGTAAAACTAATAACAGTAAAAAAAAAAGGTGTTTATTGAGTCAGGTTCAAATTTTATAAATGTTTATGAAAAAATAATCTTAAAAACATCAGATACTTCAAAGCTACATGAGTTTCTTCATTAGGGTTGGGCGGTTCATAACCTTTAAAAAATACTGCGACATTGGCATGGGGGAGGGATAGTATTTGGCTTGTTGAGTAATTAATTATTAACTGAGAAACAGTTGCTTGTGAGCATTTACAWACATAGCTTGACATTCTAGAGCCAGAGAGGGACGTGGGAAAGAAACTCTGCTGTCACTTAATGTGAATCATCTTCTGAAGGAGTCTTGAATGTTTATGTCACAGTTTTATTAGCAGCCTTGTGGAAAATTGGCACATCACCTCACATGACCAATAATTAATCATTTTTAAATACGTCACAATATTTTAATACTGCTGTATATGGAAATGGCATCACACCGCCCAAGTCTAATAGCTTTCTGTCATAAACGAATATTGTTGCTTTTGTACCATTCTCCATAAGAAGGAATATGCAAGTATTTTCCATATAACAGACCTTTATTCTTTTCTTTATTTTTTTTTTTTTTTTTTTTTTCAAGTATCTGTTTCATGTCTTGTTTGCAGGCCTTGTCCAGATGAACCAGCAAGGCTTAAAGCAACTCTACCTCAAAACACATTGAAGCTTGGTGAAATCTTATCTGGGCATATCAGTATGTTTTCTCCAAAACACACATATATAAAATGTTTTGTTGTTTTTGTTTGTTTGTTTGTTTGTTTGTTTGTTTATGTTATTGCATGAGACTTGTTTTCTTTAAACAGATTTGGAGCTTATGGACCAATATGACAATGTGACTAAGAAGCTAACTTCGGCCTGTGTGAAGAGCATGAGTGTTGAAGCTGAGGGTCTCGACAAATCAAACATCAGTTTCAAATGGCAGGTTAGAACTCTAATGATAAACTCTGACAGACCCTCAGTGAGACATCAATGTTAATGCAATGCGATGAGTGTGCAATTAAAACGAAGATCCATTAAACCAAAATCACAAATTTGGTGCAACTTGCCCTCAAAGACTACCAGTTACTAATAAAATTAACTTGTTTTTGTGCATAGCCCATTGTTTAATCCCAAGCTGTGTTCAGTCACAAACTAAACCTGTTCTTAAATCATCACTAGAATGTCAGCAAAAATCTTCTGATTGTATTTGGATTATGCTSTCCGCAGCTCTTAACATGCATGCGCTTCTTTTCTGCTCTTTGTGCTCACATACTGCCATTGTAACATAAAAGTAGATCATGACCATGCAAAAAAAATGTTTAGACATTTTCTTAATATGGTTCTTAGTTTGCTTTAAATTTGCAACTAATTTATAGATTTTCCAATAGCCAAAATGTTGAAATGGTCATAATTTTAAAACTTTAAGGCCCTGTATGTCCGATCTACACCTCATCTGCAAAGCATTGTTTTATTCTTGACACCAAAAAGATCCAGATGTATATAGGAGACACTTAACAGACCAAATAACAAAACTTAAATAACCCTAATTAAAGTCTTTATTTTTCTCTGTCCTGATATGACAAAAGTATTCCTAACAGAGAGAAATATCTCTGTGGTCAATGGTCAAGGCAACACCAACAATTTAAGAGCTCTGATTTGCTGCATGTCAGTGGTTATCACATAAAAATGTAAAGGAGGTTCAACAAGACAAGACCCTCATTGTCAACCACCTTAATTTATAATTGCTTCCCACCAGAAGTATTAATTAGTAGGAAGTGACAAAATACATGGTTCAGAGAAAATTTGTGAACTTAAAGCTGTTGTGCTGTATGTAAACTCCTGTATCCAGACTGAACATTTATAACATAATAAAGTACCTGTTGCATGTTTGCAATTATTATATGGCTGAATGCCCTCGATAATTTGGAGAACTGACAAAATATCACTTGTCAATTCACCATGATAAAATGGTTWAAAAGACTAATAACAAAGTCAGAAATCATTTGAATGCATTTTTCTTTTTAATTATTTGTCAGTTTTCTGGAGCCAGAGATTAGAATAATACATTTTTAAAAACACCTTTCTTGACAGTAATCAGTCAAAAGAATATTTAGATAAAGGTATAGAGTAAATCAACCTAAAGGAAACAAACTATTTTCTTTTTTTTTACGTTAAGGAACCTGTAAAGTTGTTAACAGTATTCAAAGTAGAGAACCCTACCTCTCTTTAGCATTTATACTGTTTACATAATAATAATAATAATAATAATAATAATAATAATAATAATAATAATAATAATAACTTTATTTGTAAAGCACTTTTAAACACAGCGCTGGACAAGAGATAAAATCACACATGATAAAAGGCAAAGTCACGAAGTAAAAAATGAGATCACTAAAAACAAATAAAAACTCTGAAAACAAGAGATAAAATCACAGGAGAGGGCAAGGCAGTGATAGTAAAAACAAAGGATAAAATTAAGACAAGTAAAATACACTCACCGGCCACTTTATTAGATACACCTGTCCAACTGCTCGTTAACACTTAATTTCTAATCAGCCAATCACATGGCGGCAACTCAGTGCATTTAGGCATGTAGACATGGTCAAGACAATCTCCTGCAGTTCAAACCGAGCATCAGTATGGGGAAGAAAGGTGATTTGAGTGCCTTTTTAACGTGGCATGGTTGTTGGTGCCAGAAGGGCTGGTCTGAGTATTTCAGAAACTGCTGATCTACTGGGATTTTCACGCACAACCATCTCTAGGGTTTACAGAGAATGGTCCGAAAAAGAAAAAACATCCAGTGAGCGGCAGTCCTGTGGGYGGAAATGCCTTGTTGATGCCAGAGGTCAGAGGAGAATGGGCAGACTGGTTCGAGCTGATAGAAAGGCAACAGTGACTCAAATAACCACCCGTTACAACCGAAGTAGGCAGAAGAGCATCTCTGAACGCACAGTACGTCGAACTTTGAGGCAGATGGGCTTCAGCAGCAGAAGACCACACCGGGTGCCACTCCTTTCAGCTAAGAACAGGAAACTGAGGCTACAATTTGCACAAGCTCATCGAAATTGGACAAGAGAAGATTGGAAAAACGTTGCCTGGTCTGATGAGTCTCGATTTCTGCTGCGACATTCGGATGGTAGGGTCAGAATTTGGCGTCAACAACGTGAAAGCATGGATCCATCCTGCCTTGTATCAACGGTTCAGGCTGGTGGTGGTGGTGTCATGGTGTGGGGAATCTTTTTTTGGCACTCTTTGGGCCCCTTGGTACCAATTGAGCATCGTTGCAACGCCACAGCCTACCTGAGTATTGTTGCTGACCATGTCCATCCCTTTATGACCACAATGTACCCAACATCTGATGGCTACTTTCAGCAGGATAATGCGCCATGTCATAAARCTGGAATCATCTCAGACTGGTTTCTTGAACATGACAATGAGTTCACTGTACTCAAATGGCCTCCACAGTCACCAGATCTCAATCCAATAGAGCATCTTTGAGATGTGGTGGAACGGGAGATTCGCATCATGGATGTGCAGCCGACAAATCTGCGGCAACTGTGTGATGCCATCATGTCAATATGGACCAAAATCTCTGAGGAATGCTTCCAGCACCTTGTTGAATCTATACCACGAAGAATTGAGGCAGTTCTGAAGGCAAAAGGGGGTCCAACCCGTTACTAGCGTGGTGTACCTAATAAAGTGGCCGGTGAGTGTAGTTTAAACAGGTGTATCTTTAGCTTAGCTTAACATGTTAAAGGACCTGAAATTTAATAACAAAAATCTAATTTTAAAAATATTTTATTTATGTCTACAAACTTGTTTATGGAGACAAAAGCCCAGCCCCCATCAGGGGAAATACCGTTGGTGGCTTAGGGGTTCGGGTGTGAAGTGAGTTTAGGTGAGGGTTAGGGTCAGGTATGTACTGGAGGGGTTAGGTTTAGGGTAAGGTGTCAAGATTAAGCCGGATTCACACCAAACGCATTTTGAACAGCAAAAATGAGCCCAACGCCTCAAGTTGGACGTGCAACGTTCAGACCGGGACACAGACCAGACGCGTGTCTGAAGAGGGAGGAGCGTCTTGGTTTTTTCCGGTCTGTCTTTATTGACGGGTGAAATAAAGATAAAATAAAGAAAATGGCTTTGCTTTATTTACTAAAGAGCTAGTGAACGTTGAGCACAGCAGATGATTAATTCACCAGATAATTTAGAGGCGGTCTGTTCGGTTAGTTTCACCACTCCAGGAGCTGTGAGCTGACGGACTATTTTTTTTGTCCCGAGCCCAGTTTAACACCATGGTCAATTTAACGAGCCGCTGACCCACATCAGTGCTGATATCTCCAGCCAAAACACCAACTACAGACGGTCGATTTCAGCTAAAGAGCTCCTCTGTCCATCTGTTTCGGGTTCAGGAAACTGTCACGTGGAAAACTGAGCCTCTCTGATTGGTTGCCGCTGCGCGTCGAGCAGCAAAAGTTAAACTTTTTGAACTCGAGCAGCGGCTGCTTTGGATGCRCCGCTTGCACGGACAAYGCTCTGACACATCCTACCGCTACCTTGCACGCTGCGCTAAACTGGCAAAACGTGCCACGCTGCTCCTAGACGTGCGTCAACCATAGACTTTGCATGTAAACTGACTGCTTTGGCTGCTCAAAACGGGTCCGATGTGTACCCGGCTCTAGGCTGTAGAAATAGCCAGTAAATGAATAGATGTCGATGCAAAGTCGCCATGAAGATAGAAGAACAAGCTTGTGTGTGTGTGTGTGTGTGTGTGTGTGTGTGTGTGTGTGTGTGTGTGTGTGTGTGTGTGTGT